CATACTCTGTTTGTCCTCTGTTGCAGCAAAAGGAGCAGTCTGCAGGAATAGATGGCCGATCGGCCATCTTCAGTGCCGGTCAGCTACAAGTGTTTGGCCGATGGCTTCATATTTGGTCGATGACCTGTTTATCTTAGCCGATGACCATGATTTTTGGCCGATGGCCTCCCATAGTGCCCATAGGGTGAGTCAGAAGTGTGTTGGGAATTTTCACACTTTGCAGAGGCACAGAGTAGTGCAAACAAAGGCAACATAAGGCATGACAACAGATTTCCAAGCAAAGCCGACCGAGCATGCATTTCTCCCTCGTCTCGAGGTCTCTTTACTGTGTTTTCTAGCTTAATTAATTTGTTTAATTAGTTAAGAGTTGTGTAATAATTAATTAGCTTGTAAGTTAGTTAATTAGTTGATTTGTATTATTCTTTCGGACCCTCCGTCGAGAGGGCAAATTTTGTAATAAGTGTGCGTGAGTGTGTGAATATCTTCTAACCCCACGTCTTTCTCCCTTTTACTTATCTGCTTATGATGGTTAGTTTTAGGGCATGTTTCAATTAGCATCCTTATGTTTGTATGTTTGCATCCATTCATTCGTCTTGCATGCACCAGGCTCGGTGCATCATACTCATTACATCGTGTTTCAATTCCTATTTGAATATGTGTATCAATCGTTGCATCTTATATTCCATCTTAGAATAGCCGAGCCTATTTTCTAATGTTTTACATCATCATGAAGGAGTACACTCGCCATTCTCGTCAAAAGGTTAGATGCTTGTTTTACTTTTCTATTTTAGCACAATTCACTAGAATTAGACCAATGTTGGTCGTTTTGTTTTTTTTTTGGTAAGACCAATGTTGAATGTCTATTCTACGCTGGTCAGATGATTAAATTCATAGTTCTAGTCACTATTTTGTTTAAATTTAACACAATTATTTTAATTTCCTTTTAGTTTTTTAAGCAATTAAGAGTCCAAGTGAGATTCTCTTCAGTAGGGATAAGTAACATAGTTTCATTTTCAAACCTTCCAGGTAGAAATTGGTGTTTTCAACAAAAAAAAATTATTGTCCACTTACCTTTTCTTATTTTTACTTGATTTTCGGTTTTGCTAATACTTATAGATAAATGTTCTCTGTGTGCATATATTGTGCTCTTTTGGCATCTTTGGGTATGAATTTCTGATCCATGAGGCTTTGTAAATGAGTTTTGATTTTCTTTAAAGTTACATGTTTTAATTATGGCCCAAACTACAAATTTTATTTAGCTATGTGAGGAAAATGTGTTTCCAAAGTGCATAGATATGTGGTTATTCTTTTTCTTATCCATGTGTTATTCTTTTTCTCAATCAATATTTTACAAACTTTCCATTTCACTCCCTCTTTTCTTTTTTGGAGGGGGTGTTGGGGTTGATGGAATCATCCACTGAGCATAATATTTATATACATGCATTGAGTAGTCCAAAGCCACCATAAACTGTTTTGAAGGTTTATATATTTCCCTTTTATTTGTCCTGAGCTTTTTATAAGGACTCTACCATGCCCAATATTTTCAAATATGTCGTATTTTGATTTATAACTTTGACAGGGGTTTCTCATACATATTATTTAATAAACTTTCAAAAAAAAAAAAATGTTCTAACAGTTTGTGTTCTTATTAACTCTTCAATTTTGAATATTCCTTTCATTTGTCTCTCTACATGCTGGTTAATAATAATATATATATATATATATATTATTTATTCAGTCTCACAAGAGTGTATTTACATTTTTGTTCTTCACATTTGTTATATTATACCTTTTCCCTTGGTTGGTTTTGTGATTGTTGTTTCAATAAGCTCATAAAAGTAAAAATTGTGTCCTCTTAGTCCATTCAGTCATTTCAGTTAGTCAATTGTTTTGGAGTACTAAAAAAAGGAAGAAATTCAAAATGCTTAAACCTTGGATCTTGCTATCGGTAAAGATGTAGAAAATTTCTTATGACTTGAAATTTCTTTTTCCTGGCAATGCTATCTAACACATTTGTACCTATGTTGTTGCAATTAAATCCACCTTCATCTAAACAGTTTATTCATGCATTTTTGCAAGCCAAAAATGTTGCAACTTTGTCATTTCTTTTGCATGAACTGAAGTTGATTTGTTCACACCAGATGTGCACTTGGATTTTTGTCACGACCCGAACCCGCCCCCGTGGGTTAAGGACGTAACCGGCCAGTAATCATGAGATTACCTACGGCCTCAAGCTGTTCTAAACGTATTTTAACAGAGTTAATGGGGGCCAAACGGAAGCAAAATTAAATACTTTGTCCATAGAGCCGTGCTTATATGCACATCAAACAAACCGTACTTAATCAAAATACTTAATTGACCTATATTAATGCTTGTTATGTCTTGAGCTTTGTATGAATAATGACCACGGTTAATAATTAATGTTATACGATTAATAAAGGCAACCTCGATTAAGAACAACATGATTAACAAAAGTGAGATTAATTAACTTAACCATGAGTAGTTAGTGGTTAATGGTGTTGATTAGTGAGTATATGGCCCATTTGGCAAAAAGAGGGGGGAAGAGACGCCTCATCCTCGCTTTCTCTACAATTTTGTGCATTGACATGTGCTCTATTTATACATACATGTCTATAGATCTATAATGGCTTATTAAAAACAAAGGAAGAGAGGAACTTGAAGTCCTTGTCCTGTAGATAGTGTGTGGAGAGAAAAAGATAAGAGAGTGAAGGAACATTCAAGAAAAGAAAGAGAAGGATCAAGAGAAACTTGCATGTGTTAGCCAATTGAAGTAAGAATTCTTATTTGCAACTTGTTTCTTTCTTTTTAATATGTCGATAGCTTGATTACCAAGTGCAATTTGGTAGAAAATCGGCTTAAACTCCATGACTGAGCTTGTTATGCTCATTCCGATTGAAGGAAAACCCTAATTTCAAGTAATTGAAGAAGAATCATGGAGTTCTCCCATTGAATTGAGAGTCTTGAAACACGCTGGTTTTACTTACGATGAGATGAGGAGACTTTCTCTACCACTTTATGTGGTTTGATTCACCACGTGGGGATTTTCATGTTTGCCCATTTTGTTATGAAGAGAAGATGAGCTGACTTATTTCAAATGAGATATACTATCTCTGATTATAAATTGAACATTGTATGCTTTTGATTACAATGTATCCATGATAATGTATGCTCAAGGATTCTTATTATTCATTTACTTCTTGTATTGGCCAAGAGATGTAATTACTTGCTGCATCAAGTCTTGCATATATTGATATGAAGAAATTAGCATAGGTAATTTTAAAAAAAAAATCTGGAAATTGCATTCCATGAGCATCACGAATGAATCTGTTTTCTAAACCGAAAGTAGTTGCTTCTGTTATAATTGGAAGGAATTAACACGGTACTAGTGAAAAGCAATTCAACCTTGAAACTCATTTGACAAGTTATTTACACTATTCAAAAGTTGAGTGAGTAAACCAGAAAATTTTGTTGTACGTCACTAGCATACAAACCATTATTTAAGAAATGGTGCCACCAAAATATTACTCATGAAACTGTAACACCAAGTAGGCAATAAATGACATTTGAGACAACTTCATTAAAATAACTAGCAACCCATAGAGAATGTCATATCAAATTCTCATGATATATATCCATCTATTCTTATCAAAATAAATATATTTAACTTCAAAAGTATAGAAGCTCCATCAGATCTTTTTAGCTGGATAACAAAATGATTCTACCTTCTATCCTATAGCTAAATAAGATATTCAATGTTGACAAATAGAAATAAATATTGTTCAACTTCCCTGCATGGCTGCAGAAAGCATCAGAATTCAAAAGGCCTAAAAACCAACTATCAAATAATGTTTTCTTCTAGTTCTCTGTCTGGATTGTTTCGCCAATTAACAAACCAAATTTGAATCAGCCTTTGTTACTTCTAACATTCTTGACCTATATCAAAACCAAAGGGCCAGAGATACCAAATCATACGTCAAAGTAACTTCAGAAGGCTGCAACATTCAACTTAAGTTTCAGTTTCCACAATATCAATTCCACTACATTCCTCCTAGAAATTCACAGAACTAACTTCTCCAAGAACTAGAAGACGACCCCTCAACTTCCCACAATGAATCATAAAACCTCACATATCGTCAATTCCAATAACTGTATTCGGCCAATAGAATACATAACACATTTTTAGATGTCTTAAAACTTCTCTAGAATTTATGCATCACCCAAACTCAATAACTCAAAAATCTTTAATCCCCACTACTTGGGGTAGATAATGTGCATGTTTTTTTTCATATACCACTTCTAGTCATGGTTATAAGAATCCGAATCCAGATCACAGGATTTTACGATTCTACCATCTCAATTTGGCCGAACAATCCTGATTGCACTAGGATCTAAAATCTTGTAGAATCTTAGAATAACTATGATCTTAATCACAAAATCATGTATAATCATAATATGATCCCGGTCCAGCTACGATTCTGATTCTTTCTACCAATTTTTTTCTTATTATTTATTTTTTCTATATATGTATGTGTGTGTAGATCAAATTTTGACAAAAAAATTCACCTTCAAGTGTCTTCTCTTATAACAAATTTCATTTTGGGAACTTGAAGAGAATGTGACAGCTTCTCTTTATTTATAGAAAAAGATTTCTTCAAAATTATTTGAATTAAAATATTTTGAGAGAAATTTAAAAAATTTGTTTCGCCCTAAAATCAAAGTCAGTGAATTCAATTTTTTGTTTGAACAAAATGGTTTGGAGGAAGAATTGAAAACTTGGTTTTCATCTAAATGGAATAATTGTGACCATTTTATCAATTATACATTATTAGTAAACACTAACAATTTATCTTAGCATAAATATGCATTATATCAAATTTATTATTTATTAAAATTATTTAAAACATATATTATTATTGATAATTTTACACTTTATTTTAACAACCTTGCTTGTAGTGCACTATCATTGGTTAGACACAAGGCAATGAAAATGAATGCACCTGCTAGAAAATATAACCAATCTTCAAGAGTTGTGGCTACAAGTTCTACATCTGTCATCTAAACTACAACAATCCTTTCTCCGAGCTTGAAACTGGTCAACTGCAACATAAAAGAAAAAGGGGGAAGGGAGGGGGCAAAACATACTTAGCATAACATGCGTAGCTAGTACGTCTCAACCCTCACCCCCATAAAATATATATATATATATACACACATGCACACACATAGTAGAAAAAGAGACTCTGAAAACTGCACAAAAAGAGACTGCTGATCTCTTGGAATACAACACACCATGTTGATCTACAAAAATTTCTCTCCACAGCGTATCTCTAAATCCATGCAGTCATAATAATAAATATATCACAAAGAAACATTAATCAATCTGTGAAAGCTACAAACACCTAAATTTGTCAATCTAAGTGAATAATATCACCAAGAAACTCAGATAAAGAAATATATGATTGCTAACTATAGATATCTCATATGATCTGATAATCACGTAAGTACAGGTCAATTGCACAAACAGAATTATCATTTTACTAACCGTGACAAAGCCACTGGTTGAGGACCAAGGTTCTGATGTCCATGTGTTTGTCTCCCAAAGATAAAATGTCCCATCACTGTAACAGAACAAGATCATCACCTCAGATTTAGATTGATTAAGATTAACAGCAAGCATACAAAATCTGAATCAGGCGAGTAAATGACAGTACAACTTCGCTGCGAAAAAATAATCTCCAGTGGGAGACCACTTTAGCATTGATATGCCTCCTAATCCCCGTCGAATGGGTGTGCCTCGACCTGTAATTATATGAATTCAGATATACCAATTAAAAAAAAGAACTGAGTATCTGCAAAAATGAAAATAGAATTATCATAATGCATGTAGTTCAAGAGTAACTTGATTCTTAAAGAGATAAAAACCAGATCAGCAAATATGAAAATATTCTCAGATTCAATTTAACCCATGCCCCAAAACAAAGCAACCCTAAAACAACTGGAGACTCTAACTGTGATAACCCAGATACTGCTTTGCACTCTATATTATGCTTGCATTGAGTGCACTTAAACAAGAAAGCCTTATTTCTTACTTGTTAAGGTGATATGATGCTATCTTGAAGTAACGAATTTTTTCGTATGAAAATGTTTTACTTAAGTCTGATGTATTGATATTTTGCTAAGAGTATATGATGTATTGATATTGTATGGAAATGCCTCATACAAATAGATGAAAATAACATGAAAATGTTTTGTAATTATATTTCTTGTGCTTCTGCACTATCCCTCATGTTGAGATAAGTCTCCTGTATGAAAATGTAAGAAGAGACCACACCACTTGTATGCTTGTGCAGAGACATTTAGTTTTAGGGGCAGTTGAATAGAGTCTAGTTACTATGGCTTAATGATGTTTGAATGGCAAACCAAGGTGCTTAATCAATTTGGGTTAATGACTATTGTGTTGTCAACTATGTGAAAAACCAATTGCGATTAATAAAAGAAACAATGATTAATTAAGCCTAATCAAGATTAGCTAGGTAACTGTGATTAATTAATCATAACATAGTTAATTAAGCTAATGACCTTGATTAATTAAAGAAGATGACTCGTGGTGTAGGAAAGGGAGGATGACACCTTGATACAGCACCAATAGGAGAAAGAAGGTGAAGAAGAAACGAGAAGACGAAAAAGAAAAGAAACAAATCTATAGACAAGAGAAAGAGGTATATTGAAATTCTCAAATTCAATAATATGCCAAATTGCCAATATCAAAAATGTAATAGTTCAATACAAATCCACCTATATATATGGACCTAAAAGCATTATCCAATAAGAAAATAAAGAAAAATTAAAGAAACATAAAAATGGAACTAAAATCCTAATGAAATGAAATCAAAAAACTCCTAAATAATTATAAAAACCTAAATAAACTAAAATTCTAATTCTATTGGCTTCATCCACAGCCTTGTCATTCCCTATCATTTCTCATCGGCTAAAAAACATATCCCTCAGGGAGTTATAATAATAAAAGCACTCCAACAGATGAAGCTCACATTGGCGAAACATTTCCTCAACCATGATAGCATCTGAATGGTGAATACTTCCTGAACAAGACTATATTGAGAAGCCCAATGTAAGAAAATGATGTCTTGACTCTATAGCATCAATAATCAAATAACCACAAAATGACCAAGACAAAGCAGCTAGAACAGGTGTTGGTGGTGAAAATGTAGCAACTCCAGTAGAGAAACCATCAAAAAAAACAAGAGGCTTCAAAGTGCCTCAATTGAGTAACATATCCTGTACATGTAACATTGAACAAATATTTAAATTCAAGGGTAAATTAGTAAAACATGCACTTGATCCATAATCCAGAATAGAACAAACTTGTCCATTAAATGTCAACATGAAATACTTGGAGAACAACTATGGTGCAAAGGGGTACTAGCAAAGCCCTTATGCTTAAAATGATAATAAATATCCTCAAGGAAACTATTAAAATCAAGCAAAGAGATGAGATTAACAGACTTATGAGATGATTGATTAGAAATAATGTCAGAGTAACTCTCAACATCAAGCAAGGAGATAGGAGCAATAGACTCCAAAAATGCAGAGGATATGACAATTTCATCAGGCTCGTAATGAGATGAAGATAGGACAGACTCTGGAATGGAGGATACAATAGACTCAATTGAATTCTCATCAGCAATAGAATCAATGACTAGATCAACATTTTACACGGTTATTGATTCAACAAGTTCTTCCTTACGTGCCACAACAAACGTTGATTCAACCTTAAGCTCTAAAGTCTTGGTCACTTTAGGACATGAAAAACGTGCACACACAACATGAATATCCTATTCACCCAAATATATATATATATATATATATCCTTCCAATCCAGTATGATCAGGCTAAGCATATTGATATTAATAAGAACTTTATCGATGAGAAGTTAAATTATGTAAAGAATGAAGATCAACTTGCTAACATCTTAACAAAGGGAGTATCGAGTGGAGTGTTTCGTAATATCCTTACAGAGTTAGGCACGCCTGATTTTTTTGCACTAGCTTGAAGGGGAGTGCTGGAATGTTTTTATTTTTAATACAAGGGGTATTTTTGTAGTATGCTTCATTTAAGTATAAATAATAGTTACAAGGGAGAGAACCATAATAGCCTTCAATGTCTTTTACTCTTCTTCTTTATCCGTAATCTTATGTTCTACAAATTACAACAAAAAGCTATTTGCTTGATCTTTCTTTGTGTGGTATGTTTGGTTTGCTCTTACAATATGGTTAGCGCAATATGCTTTGAATTTGGGAAAATTTGACTAAGTGATTTGCATTTAAAAATTGGAATGCTAATGTGCATAATAGATGATGCACCTCACCATGTTCATACCCTAGGGGCTTTAATTGATATGGACCATAACAAGATCAAGAAAAAGCAAAATTAAAGATGCAGCAAATTTTGGAAATGTGTTGGCTTCAAGCAGAATTTGCTTGGGACCAATTGGAATTATGTGTAATCAAATTCTGCTTTATTGAAGACTTATTTTATAGGTTAGGTATTCAATTAGAATATAAATGTGTTGGTTGTGGATTATTTGAGCTTATATAGGTCTAAAATGGTTTGAGACAGCCTATTTTTAGCATACCTCTTCAAGATTGGGAAGCAGAAGGCGTGGAGGAGTTTCTTGGCTTCCTTAATGGCATGACTATCACTTTCTAAAATGGTTTGAGACAGCCTATTTTTAGCATACCTCTTCAAGATTGGGAAGCAGAAGGCGTGGAGGAGTTTCTTGGCTTACTTAATGGCATGACTATCACTCCAGCCAGACAGGACAGTTAGAAGTGGAAGAATAGATATGAGTTCTTCTCTGTAATACCTTACTTCTCATTGATTTCTGGAGGATCTAGAGAACATTTGCCATCAATTTGGAAGACAGGAGCTCCTACAGAACTAACTTCTCCAAGAACTAGAAGACGACCCCTCAACTTCCCACAATGAATCATAAAACCTCACATATCGTCAATTCCAATAACTGTATTCGGCCAATAGAATACATAACACATTTTTAGATGTCTTAAAACTTCTCTAGAATTTATGCATCACCCAAACTCAATAACTCAAAAATCTTTAATCCCCACTACTTGGGGTAGATAATGTGCATGTTTTTTTTCATATACCACTTCTAGTCATGGTTATAAGAATCCGAATCCAGATCACAGGATTTTACGATTCTACCATCTCAATTTGGCCGAACAATCCTGATTGCACTAGGATCTAAAATCTTGTAGAATCTTAGAATAACTATGATCTTAATCACAAAATCATGTATAATCATAATATGATCCCGGTCCAGCTACGATTCTGATTCTTTCTACCAATTTTTTTCTTATTATTTATTTTTTCTATATATGTATGTGTGTGTAGATCAAATTTTGACAAAAAAATTCACCTTCAAGTGTCTTCTCTTATAACAAATTTCATTTTGGGAACTTGAAGAGAATGTGACAGCTTCTCTTTATTTATAGAAAAAGATTTCTTCAAAATTATTTGAATTAAAATATTTTGAGAGAAATTTAAAAAATTTGTTTCGCCCTAAAATCAAAGTCAGTGAATTCAATTTTTTGTTTGAACAAAATGGTTTGGAGGAAGAATTGAAAACTTGGTTTTCATCTAAATGGAATAATTGTGACCATTTTATCAATTATACATTATTAGTAAACACTAACAATTTATCTTAGCATAAATATGCATTATATCAAATTTATTATTTATTAAAATTATTTAAAACATATATTATTATTGATAATTTTACACTTTATTTTATACAAAAAGTAGAATCTTACAATCTACAATCCAATCCACAAGACCCTCCCAATGATCCTACGTAAGATCCCTATTTTAACAACCTTGCTTGTAGTGCACTATCATTGGTTAAACACAAGGCAATGAAAATGAATGCACCTGCTAGAAAATATAACCAATCTTCAAGAGTTGTGGCTACAAGTTCTACATCTGTCATCTAAACTACAACAATCCTTTCTCTGAGCTTGAAACTGGTCAACTGCAACATAAAAGAAAAAGGGGGAAGGGAGGGGGCAAAACATACTTAGCATAACATGCATAGCTAGTACGTCTCAACCCTCACCCCCGTAAAATATATATATATACACACATGCACACACATAGTAGAAAAAGAGACTCTGACCACTGCACAAAAAGAGACTGCTGATCTCTTGGAATACAACACACCATGTTGATCTACAAAAATTTCTCTCCACAGCGTATCTCTAAATCCATGCAGTCATAATAATAAATATATCACAAAGAAACATTAATCAATCTGTGAAAGCTACAAACACCTAAATTTGTCAATCTAAGTGAATAATATCACCAAGAAACTCAGATAAAGAAATATGTTAGAATTTACCTTCACCTACACCACTACCACCTCACCTACTCCACTAAACCTAACCCACTACACCACTACCACCTCCACTTCACCTACACCACTACCACCTCCACTTCACCTACTACACCTATATCTCCTATATAAGGAGTCTCTCACATTTGTACTAATCAATCAATCTATTCAACAATCAATAATACATCTATTTTTTACAAAATATATGATTGCTAACTATAGATATCTGATATGATCTGATAATCACGTAAGTACAGGTCAATTGCACAAACAGAATTATCATTTTACTAACCGTGACAAAGCCACTGGTTGAGGACCAAGGTTCTGATGTCCATGTGTTTGTCTCCCAAAGATAAAATGTCCCATCACTGTAACAGAACAAGATCATCACCTCAGATTTAGATTGATTAAGATTAACAGCAAGCATACAAAATCTGAATCAGGCGAGTAAATGACAGTACAACTTCGCTGCGAAAAAATAATCTCCAGTGGGAGACCACTTTAGCATTGATATGCCTCCTAATCCCCGTCGAATGGGTGTGCCTCGACCTGTAATTATATGAATTCAGATATACCAATTAAAAAAAAGAACTGAGTATCTGCAAAAATGAAAATAGAATTATCATAATGCATGTAGTTCAAGAGTAACTTGATTCTTAAAGAGATAAAAACCAGATCAGCAAATATGAAAATATTCTCAGATTCAATTTAACCCATGCCCCAAAACAAAGCAACCCTAAAACAACTGGAGACTCTAACTGTGATAACCCAGATACTGCTTTGCACTCTATATTATGCTTGCATTGAGTGCACTTAAACAAGAAAGCCTTATTTCTTACTTGCTAAGGTGATATGATGCTATCTTGAAGTAATGAATTTTTTCGTATGAATATGTTTTACTTAAGTCTGATGTATTGATATTTTGCTAAGAGTATATGATGTATTGATATTGTATGGAAATGCCTCATACAAATAGATGAAAATAACATGAAAATGTTTTGTAATTGTATAACTTGAGCTTCTGCACTATCCCTCATGTTGAGATAAGTCTCCTGTATGAAAATGTAAGAAGAGACCACACCACTTGTGTGCTTGTGTAGAGACATTTAGTTTTAGGGGCAGTTGAATAGAGTCTAGTTACTATGGCTTAATGACGTTTGAATGGCAAACCAAGGTGCTTAATCAATTTGGATTAATGACTATTGTGTTGTCAACTATGTGAAAAACCAATTGCGATTAATAAAAGAAACAATGATTAATTAAGCCTAATCAAGATTAGCTAGGTAACTGTGATTAATTAATCATAACATAGTTAATTAAGCTAATGACCTTGATTAATTAAAGAAGATGACTCGTGGTGTAGGAAAGGGAGGATGACACCTTGATACAGCACCAATAGGAGAAAGAAGGTGAAGAAGAAACGAGAAGACGAAAAAGAAAAGAAACAAATCTATAGACGAGAAAGAGGTATATTGAAATTCTCAAATTCAATAATATGCCAAATTGCCAATATCAAATATGTAATAGTTCAATACACATCCACCTATATATATGGGCCTAAAAGCATTATCCAATAAGAAAATAAAGAAAAATTAAAGAAACATAAAAATGGAACTAAAATCCTAATGAAATGAAATCAAAAAACTCCTAAATAATTATAAAAACCCAAATAAACTAAAACTCTAATTCAATTGGCTTCATCCACAGCCTTGTCATTCCCTATCATTTCTCATCGGCGAAAAAACATATCCCTCAGGGAGTTGTAATAATAAAAGCACTCCAACAGATGAAGCTCACATTGGCGAAACATTTCCTCAACCATGATAGCATCTGAATGGTGAATACTTCCTGAACAAGACTATATTGAGAAGCCCAATGTAAGAAAATGATGTCTTGACTCTATAGGATCAATAATCAAATAAACACAAAATGACCAAGACAAAGCAGCTAGAACAGGTGTTGGTGGTGAAAATGTAGCAACTCCAGTAGAGAAACCATCAAAAAAAACAAGAGGCTTCAAAGTGCCTCAATTGAGTAACATATCCTGTACATGTAACATTGAACAAATATTTAAATTCAATGGTAAATTAGTAAAACATGCACTTGATCCATAATCCAGAATAGAACAAACTTGTCCATTAAATGTCAACGTGAAATACTTGGAGAACAACTATGGTGCAAAGGGGTACTAGCAAAGCCCTTATGCTTAAAATGATAATAAATATCCTCAAGGAAACTATTAAAATCAAGCAAAGAGACGAGATTAACAGACTTATGAGATGATTGATTAGAAATAATGTCAGAGTAACTCTCAACATCAAGCAAGGAGATAGGAGCAATAGACTCCAAAAAAGCAGAGGATATGACAATTTCATCAGGCTCGTAATGAGATGAAGATAGGACAGACTCTGGAATGGAGGATACAATAGACTCAATTGAATTCTCATCAGCAATAGAATCAATGACTAGATCAACATTTTACACGGTTACTGATTCAACAAGTTCTTCCTTACGTGCCACAACAAACGTTGATTCAACCTTAAGCTCTAAAGTCTTGGTCACTTTAGGACATGAAAAACGTGCACACACAACATGAATATCCTATTCACCCAAATATATATATATATATATATATATCCTTCCAATTCAGTATGATCAGGCTAAGCATATTGATATTAATAAGCACTTTATCGATGAGAAGTTAAATTATGTAAAGAATGAAGATCAACTTGCTAACATCTTAACAAAGGGAGTATCAAGTGGAGTGTTTCGTAATATCCTTACAAAGTTGGGCACGCCTGATTTTTTTGCACTAGCTTGAAGGGGAGTGCTGGAATGTTTTTATTTTTAATACAAAGGGTATTTTTGTAGTATGCTTCATTTAAGTATAAATAATAGTTACAAGGGAGAGAACCATAATAGCCTTCAATGTCTTTTACTCTTCTTCTTTATCCGTAATCTTATGTTCTACAAATTACAACAAAAAGCTATTTGCTTGATCTTTCTTTGTGTGGTATGTTTGGTTTGCTCTTACAATATGGTTAGCGCAATATGCTTTGAATTTGGGAAAATTTGACTAAGTGATTTGCATTTAAAAATTGGAATGCTAATGTGCATAATAGATGATGCACCTCACCATGTTCATACCCTAGGGGCTTTAATTGATATGGACCATAACAAGATCAAGAAAAAGCAAAATTAAAGATGCAGCAAATTTTGGAAATGTGTTGGCTTCAAGCAGAATTTGCTTGGGACCAATTGGAATTATGTGTAATCAAATTCTGCTTTATTGAAGACAAATTTTATAGGTTAGGTATTAAATTAGAATATAAATGTGTTGGTTGTGGATTATTTGAGCTTATATAGGTCTAAAATGGTTTGAGACAGCCTATTTTTAGCATACCTCTTCAAGATTGGGAAGCAGAAGGCGTGGAGGAGTTTCTTGGCTTCCTTAATGGCATGACTATCACTTAGAAAATATGAGGAAGAAGAACTCCGAAAATATGAGGAAGAAGGAATATATTTCTGTTATATTCAAAACTTCTTATTTTACAAGACCAAATGACACTCCTTATATAGGAGATATTACAAACATCATTATAACCCATTATATGCCACTTACATATTATATATTACCACTATCTACCACTATCATATTATATACATGCCACTATCTACCACCAACACCACAATCATATTCTATACATGCCACTATCCTTCACCAACACCACTATCATATTATATACATGCCACCATCTTATTATATACATTAACACAAATTTCCAACACTCCCCCTCAAGCTGGTTTGAAGATATCTTCCATAGCCAGCTTGCTAGTCAGCTTATCAAATTGCTTCTTGTGTAGTCCCTTCGTTAGCACATCAGCTAATTGTTCACCTGTTGGAAGGTAGGTCATACAGATTATGCCAGCATTGATTTTCTCCTTGATGAAATGTTTATCCACTTCTATATGTTTTGTGCGATCATGTAGAACTGGATTATGAGCTATAGATATAGCTGCTTTGTTGTCACAATAGACCTTCATAGGTGTCGGGTGAGAAAGCTTTAATTCTTCAAGAATTCTTTTAATCCACATTACTTCACAGATTCCATGGGCAACAGCTCTGAACTCTGCTTCTGCACTACTTCTAGCTACCACATTCTGTTTTTTACTCCGCCATGTAACAGGTTCCCACCTACAAAGGAGCAGTATCCGGATGCTGATCTCCTGTCTGTAACACTTCTTGCCCAGTCTGCATCTGTGTATACTTCAACTTGAAGATGTCCATGTTTCTTGAACAGTAAGCCTCTCATAATAAAAACTCAATAGATATTATATATATTTTATAAAAATTTAATAATATATTATACACACACATATATATATGTAATATTATTATTTATTTATTATTATATTTGCAGGTCGAGTAGGGTTCGAGTAAAAAAATTCTCTCCCCCTAGCCTAAACCAAATTTGATTTTTTAAAAATTTTCTCAAATTCAACTCTAGTCTATTTAACCATCCCTAAACCCATCTTATTAGGGTTAGGGGGCGTCAGGGACCTGGCAGGTCAAGGCATTTTGCCATCCCTAGCCGCAACCCTATCTTAACTCTTCCCAACCATCTATGTCTACCCTAGCCTTTTCCGAACCATCTTGGCCATCAACCATCTTCCTCATTGTTGTCGATACCATCTTAGCCCTCTTCCAACCCCCTCTGCCCATCTCTAGCCCTTTCCTACCTTACTTTACTCAATAAGATAGATCATGGTAGAAATAGAGAAAGAGAGATTTAAGGTTCTAGGAGGGAGGTTGGAAGTGCTTGGTGGTTTAAGGAGGAGTTAGAGGTGTTGTGGTAACGATGGGAACAAGGAGCTAGAGTTGGGCCGAAGGATATAGGAAATGGTTGGAGTATCGCTCGGGTGTTATAGTAATGGTAGTAAGAAACGAAAATAAGGTAGAATGGGGTTGAGAGACAGTTTGGTCAACGGCAAGAAAGTAAATAGGGGTGGGCACAGAGGGTTTGGGGTCAAGAAAAGAAGGAGAGAGGTGGCTAGCGACTAAGAATGATGGAGGGGTGGTCTCTGATTGAAGATGGTTTCGGGTGGAAAAGAAAAAAGAAAGAGGGCGAAAAGAAGGACCATTTCCAACAGTTAAGCAAATGTATCACCAAATTTGAATTTGATGAATAAGTACAACTTTTTTGGCTCTAATGGGTTTATCAAACTGATATTAAATTGAGAATAGCCCTAAATTTTCACCAAACTGAAGATGTGTTGCACTTTTCACCAAATTACTATGCGTAGTCGTTGAGTGTGGGACCCATTGGATGGTCGGCTGGACGTCCTCCCGGATGACCACCTTAAGCCAAATTTTATGAAAATTTTACACTAGGAGGTTGACCACCCGGTCCACCCCTCGGTTGATCACCTTTTTGTTTTCTTAGTTAAAAAAAAAAGAAAAGGAAAATAGAGAGATCAGAACCAAGTTTTTCATTTTTTTGCATTGATTGGTCGACTGGCCGGTCGTCCGCCCAATCGGCCGGTAGTTTGATGAAAAGCCAAATTTCTCCGTTAGAGCAAGCGATATCAAATAGAGGAAATCGTTTTTTTTTTACTCAGATTTGATTAAAAATCTGATGAACTATTGGAGATGCTCTAAAGAGAAGTTTAGAGGGCAAAATTTTAAGTGAAAACCCACATTTTATCGTGTTTTTGTAATTATTTTTTAATCTTTTTATGTATACTATAATTATTTTCATTTCTCAATTTTTTTTTTTGTAATTATTATTATTATTATTATTATTTTGCAATTTGCCCTAGGTAAATTATGTAGGAATCCAAAATCCAAAAACTCCAAAAACGAAAGGTGAGAAAATGATTCGGAACGAAAAACCAGGAGAAATGAGCACCCACCGGAAGCGGAGTCCACCGGAAGGTGCCAACCGGAGCAAAGAGAATAATTGCATTGATTGCATTTGCATATTAGTAATCTTATTAATCACACACAAATAATCTATGAGGTTTTTGATGAGATTCTCTCTTCTTGCGTAAGCATTCCATTATATATATATATATGTATTTCCTTTTCAGCAAATCCTTGGTGTTACCTGCATGGCTGTAAGGCGGCGTGCACCTTGTAAAGGTTACACGACACGAAGTCTCCTTTGCTCCTCTCTCTCTCTTTTTTTTTTCTTTTCTTTTTTTTCACTCTCTCACTACCTTAACATAATCCTCTGCCAACCCCACAATCTCGACATTTCTCTCTGCCCCTCTCTCTCTCCCTCTCCCTACTGCACCCAAATTGGTTTCATTACCCACCCAGAAATCCCACAATGTTTTGATTGAAAACCCATTTCAAGAAATCAACATTTGGATCGAAATTAGGTGAACCCATATTGGCCGTATTGTTTTTCTTGTTAGATTTCTTGTTTCTTGGTTCTGTTCTTTTTTTGAAATTTGTGAGTTTTTGGAGGTGATATAGCTCTGAATTTAGCCGAAAGCTGTCTTGTTGCTTCAACTTAATCGAACTCTTTGAATTTCCCCATGCAATGTTGTGAGTTTTTGTTGTAGTTGTCAGTGGCAGAACCAGAAACTAGTTTTTCGCCTCAAGAATTTATATTTAACCCATTATCCAGCTTCTCTCTATGTATATATATAGAGAATTATATGATTTATAATTCATTTCTCTCTGCCCATATGTCATTCTGTGTCTCTCTCTCTTGCTTTATGGCATTAAGGATGGTTGTGCTATTTCATATCTCAATGTGTAGAATGTGGCTTTATAAAATTATTGAATACAAATAACCAGGACTCATTGGTAGACCCCATTCATTTCCCCCATACATTTCTGTGTGGATCCCATTATCTGTATTATCTCTTTCTATACACCCTTACTGCCTTTCTCTTGTTTTGATGTGTTTATTACTGAGGATGACAAGTCTATTTGGTATGAATTTGAAGTAAAATTGTTCCACTGCTGTAGAATTGCCTATTTACTCGTTGTTCGAAAATTGTTCTATTATAAATTTTTGTATGCTTTAGTATCAAGATTTGTTGGACTTAATTTGCTCTAATGAAAAATGTAGGAAACTTAATTTTCTCTAGAAAGCCTGGAATTCATACTAAAGTTGGTGGTGGAGGTTTAGTTGTAGACTGAGCATATGCCTGGGAACAAGTACAACGGCAACCCAGCCATCCCCACAAGTAGATTAGAAAGGCTCTTGAGAGATAGAGAGATAAGAAAGAGCAACAAGGCTTCTCATTCAAATGAGGCTACTGAAAATAACAAAGGGATTGAACTGCGCTCGAGAGAAGGCGATAACTTTGGGGCTTCTTCCTATGTGGA